TCAAAAGAAGCATGATTAGGACTTACAAGTCCTCAATTAGCTTGAATTGAGTCTATTTGACTTAACAGAAGCATGATTGAAGCTTACAAGCCCTCAACTAGTTCGGATTGAGTCTACTAGACTTGATAGAAGCATGATTTGGACTTACAAGCCCTCAATTAGTTCAAATTGAGTCTATTTGACTTAATAGAAGCATGATTGGGGCTTACAAGCCAACAACTAGCTCGGATTGAGTCTACTTGACTCAACAGAAGCACAATTTGGACTTACAAGCCCTCAATTAGCTTGGATTAAGTCTATTTGACTCAAAAGAAGCATGATTGGGGTTTACAAGCCCATAATTTGGTTGGAATAATTCAATATCCCTACAAAGCAAGAAAAAATGGTAAATTTATGAGGAGCAATGTCCTTTACAAGATTAAAATTCTTCCAAAAGACACGGGGGCAAGGAGGATAACAATACAAATGTAGTACTCAAAAGTTAAAGTCTTTGTTTCATATAAAACTTGTACAAATTTACAATTTCTTTGGCAAGAAAAAAGTAGTAAGAAAGCTTCCTAGCACTTCTTTACTAATCATTCAGGTCTCTTCTAGCATTTCTTTGCTAATGGGGACCTTTGATTCCGGCTTCGCTTCCCCAACGTAGCAACCACAGCCACAGGCTCTGCAGCAGATTCTACATCATCATCCTCCAAAGATTTTGCTGGCCCCTCACCATCGTAGGGGATCACCTCCGTAATGGCTATAAGTGGGCCAAGGCCCAATAATGCCACCCCCTCAAGGGTGATCAGACTCCTGAGAGGTCTGGGACCTCTATCAGTAGCTCAGGCAATCCTTGCCAGTCCATCTGATCTCAAGGGAGACCTCTCCTCTAAAAATACATGAGCAGAAGAAACAATATTTACCTACATTATTAGGAGGATACTAGAGAAGGGGAACCCTCAGACTCCAAACCTTTCCTGGAGACAAGGAAAATCTCCCTGCCCATCTAGGACAAGGATGAAGAAGCTCAAAGACGAGTTCTCGCATGTCTTCCCTTCAAAGGAAATAATAAAAATCATGGTCATCTGGTGCCAAGTGGAAAAGGTTGGCAAATTCCACCATCATTGGAGAATGACCTAACCTTGCCAAATTTCAGAAAACCATCATCCCCAACAATAATGCCCTACCCCCTACATAGAAATACAGGTGGCACATATATCAAAGAAGTGGAGAACAACCTCACAAAGGGAGAGAAAGGGAACCAGAGGCCTACTTCAAAGGCATGCTCAAAATAGGAGGCCTTAGTAGGAGAGTGTTACAGGGGAAGTCAGGTATGGGAACCCGATGTTAGATCCTAGAAAGAAACCCATAGGGCTCCCTGACAGTTAGTAAGTCTATCACTGTCATAATGCTAAGACAAGCAAGTTGGCCCAGATAGACTCCATGAATAGAGCAACACGCCTCCTGAATGTTCTCTCTTGACGTTGAGCATCCATAAATAAGAGGTAAAGAGGAAATGTTTGGAAGATAAAATGATGAAGAGTATAGAACTCTAAAAAGGCTTAAATAAGGAAATAAGCCTCTTCCCTTAAATAGGTTTAAACGTTGTACACCTACACTTGGAAGATGATGTAACCAATAATCAAAGAGTTGTGGAGCTGAAGTGACAAAACATTCATTCCTTATGGCGGCAGAGCAATTAAGGCAAGTGTAAATATAAACTCCATGTCTTTTTTACACTCGGGTTTGTCATTAGGGTTATGCCCGCTGAGGGGGTAAGTCCAATTAGAAGACTTATTCTTTTGGACCACAAAAATGCTTAAGCTTGCTCAAAGCCTAAAATCCAATAAAGAAAACAGTCAAAGTCAAAAATATTTTTCATTGATGTTTTGGGAATTACATGGGGACATAAGAAAAGTATATCAAGCATGACCCTTAGGGGGCAAGGCAAAAACAGTGGCAACAACCTCACTTGAGAGGTCAATTGTATTAGACAAAGCTAATTGTTCTTTCATTGGAGTTTAGCTCCCCTATTTGCCATCACCATCCCCTTTGATGTCCATAGCTACTAAAGTTACGTATTCACTGGCGTTGAAGGAAAAAAAATCTAGCCCAGGAAATTACTGTTGAGCCTATTTTTGGAAGTCCTCAAATCCATCAATATAGTACTCCATCAAATCCTCCTTAAATTCCTTGGAGTCTAGATATATGGATAAGGCCAGAGCTCTAGAAACTTTAAATTTAGCCTCTCTTTGTCCAGTAGAGGCTAAAAATTTTGAGATTCTCCGAGAAAGGGCCTCTTTCTCTTCCTCTAGGTCTTTGTTCCTCATAGAGAGCTTAGTCAATTCTATTATGAACCTATTCAGCCTGGACTGTAGGTCACAATTGAGATTAACAACCTTGTCCATGTCCTTCTCGATAGAGGAAAGGCGACTGGAAGTCTTCTCAACAGCCTATTTGCAAAGAACATCATCCTTACGAATGGAAGACAGTTCCACCTCATTTACTTCGAGCTAAGAACGAAGGGATTGAATTTCCTCCTCAGAGGATTTCTTCTCACCCAATGTAGAATTATAAAGGCTAGGGGTTAAAATAGCAAGATGAAAAAGGAAGAGAGTTTAGCCCAAAATCTTGGAAAAAGCAAGAATGGATAAGCCAAAGGTTTATCTCTTTGACAATAAAAGCTAGGTTCTTTGTGACCCAAGAAATCTCCAAGTCAAAGGCTGCCTGTAGCTCATCTTTGTGAACAAACTAATGAAACTTGGCCATAGCCTCCTCCACTTTAGCCCAAATTGCATAAGGACCAACTACTAGGTGAGAAGGAAGTAATGGTATGCATTTCTTCTCCTTAGAAGCCTTAAAAGAAATACCTTTCCCCTCATTTATCTATTGGAAAAGGGAGCTTTTGTTGGACGGATCAACCCAGCGGATCTAGTAGACATCTGAGGAGAGCTGTCACCACAAGAAGTCTTAGCCATAAAAGGAGATCTTGGAAGAGGATCAGGAAATGGGGCACCTCGTTCTCTTGGAATGACATCCTTGGTTGCTTACGAGAGAGAAGCCTTCTTAGTCATAACAACTTGAAGGAATTTTTGGCAATAACCTTGGGAGCCATGATTGAAAGAAGTACTCAAGGTTAAAATGGCAAAGAAAGTAAGAAAACCAAGCAAGGGGAGGTTGGTACCTTTCGAAGGAGGAGTAATAATAGGTAATCCCATAGAGCCACCAATAAGGGGGCCCAAGAAGCACTAAGAAAGGGCTTGGTCCATCACAAGCTCGGAGAAGTCCTTGACTGGGAAGTCAAGCGCTAGTTTGATCTGCGCTCTAGGGTTAGGAGATAGAGGAGTTGACTTGCCTACACAGAAGAAAGATATGAGAATCTCATGAAGGATACAAAAAATGCCCACAAAAAAAAACAAAACTTACTAGAAACAGGGGAAGGAGTTCTCGAGATCCGAGGAACTCAAAAAAAACTCCTAGAAAAATATTTCAGAAGGCCCAAATTCCCAACCAAAACCAAAAATAAAAAGAATTTGTCCTTCCAATCATTCACATTGGAGGAAAAGCCTGTTAACAAAGAGAGAACATCTTTTTTTCAAAAAGTAGAACCACCCTAAGCCTTGTCCTGAGCAAGGGATAAGTTTGTAGTAGTGTAGTAGTAAAACAACTCAGCAAAGGACGGTTATGCACCAATACCATTGGCTCTAGCCTAGAGGACACCCATACCAATCAAATAGCCCTAGTTATTAGGGGTCAGTTGAGTAGGAGTGAGGTTCAAAAGGTAAAGAGCCTCCCTAATATAGTTAGAAAGATAAAAACGAAGCTCAGCCTCGAAGGTAGACTCATAGAAGCAAACTTGCTCAAGGGAGAAGGAATTTATAGTCTCATTAGCAGAAGGAACTCATTGTTGAACAGAACTGGGGATTGAGTATCAAGCCCTGAATTCTTTGAGAAAACTCTCATTCAAGTAGCTAGAGATACTCTTGGCCCCGCAAATCATCAAGGTAAAGGACCCAACCTCTTAAATGGAGTCAAAATATTCCTTGTTTGCAACATCGGCCTTGACCACGAGTGCTGAGACTTTCTCAACAGAGGGGCCATCAGAGTTAGAAGCCATAACTGGGAAGTTGTGGTGGTTGATATATAGATTTGGTGGAAGGGAACGATTAACCCTAATGATGCACAAAATAGTTTATGCATAATCAAATGAGTTGAGTGTATGAAACAAGGTAATTAATGGAGTAATTAATAGTAACAAACAAAAATTTGGTGGTTGGGCCGAGGGGGACCTAACCACTGAACGCTGCGACGGTGGTCAGAGAACTTTATTAATAAGAGAATAAAGTTATGGGCGAGAAAGAGAGGGAGAGCAAGAGTAAAATAAAGTTGTGATGAGATAGTTATGTGGCCTTCATGTGTAGAGGGTTTACAATTTATAGGCATAGAGCCCTAGTTGAGGCGGTGGCGTGAAGGGCAGACAACTAGTTTCTCGGATAAGATAGCTACAATTAAGGATTTGTGTGATCCTCAAGTAGTGGCAATCCTAATGACTGCTCTCTACATGTATTGACCTTTTTGAGTTTCTTGAACTTTGGATTGGGCTGAGCTTGACCTGCCTTTTAGCTAATTTGGGCTCACCCCATGTATTGGGCCTGGACCCAATTGGATTTGGCTCATCATTTTCCTCTTACGCCCTTGCCCTGACAACAAATTAAGAGTATGAGTGAGATATTCTTCTAGGCAAACTAAGTACCTTTTTCCCTATGGTAGCTTCTTTGTTTTCCCTGTTTTGTTGTTGACAACTCATAATTCCATCACCAAGTTAGAAGGGATTTCACATTAAAACCTCCATCCTCTCTTTAAGGCATCTCCCATAGGGTTTTCAAGAGGCCATATATGTAGATCCAGGAATCAACCATTCATTTCCTCATCTTTTTATTACTTCCCTTCTCTCTAGATTGGGCTAAACAATCTTCTCATTCATAGATTGTAGGGAGCATCATAAAAAAAATGTGGAGATGGAGATTTTGACGACAAGCAAATCTGCCACAGCGGGGTCGCAAGCGGGATCAGATGCTGGAGGTACTTCAACGAGGCTTATTGAAGCCTAACCTACACTCAAAACCAGGGGCGGCGCCCCTCATCAAGGTTGATACCACTGCCAAAGGAGAAGACAATGCCTTGGGTGCCAGAGGAGAAAAAGGTGATGCCTTGGGTGCCAGAGGAGAAAAAGGTGATGCCTTGGGCACCAGTAGAGAATAAGGTGATGCCTTGGGCGCTAGTGGAGAAGAAGGCAATGGTTTAGGGGCAAAGGGTGCAAGCAGCGGCGGCGCTAGGCTAGGTGGCACAAGGGACCCGTTGGGCGGCACCGAAGACATGCTGGACAACTTCTGCGGCGAACTAAGCGACGGGTCTGGTCTTTGTAATGGGTTAGATGCTAGAGGTGGTGTTGCCCTCACAGTGGGTGACTTGGGGTGTGTCCCTAACACTGGAGAGTTGGGCTCCGTTGGGCAGTTGTCTAGCATCTGCGGAGAACAATGAGTAGGCATGCTAAACGATGAATCCAATGTCTTGGGCTTTTGCCAAAGAGGGAAAGTGCCAGACCTCTCAATTAGGTAAGGCAATTCTGTTTTCCTGTCTATTCCTCCTTCATCTTGATATTTTCCTGACATTGGCTTTGATCCTGGCAGATGCCCATTCTAATGGAGATATGATGAGGAACAATACAACAGATTCCCGCGAGGCACGGGTACCACTGACAGTGAAATTTTGAAGGTAACCTCTACCTTCAGCTCCATAGATTGTGATGATGACATCACCCACAAGATGTCATCTTTTCATATTCCTCCTGCTGTTATGTGTCGTTGAGCTGAGAAGGACGAGCTGGTGTGTTATGATTCCTCATGAGAGATCATTTTTTACGAGGATGTCTTGGAGGTAGAATTGAGATTTCCTATAGCTAGTCATATCTTTAGGATTCTAGGCCACTTGTCATTTACTCTGGGGAGATTGACCCCGAATGGATGGGAGTAATTTTGGCGTTCTTCTCACTATGGTGGTTGGTTCACAGCGATGATGTTTCTTTCCTTTTCGAAGGAGTTTTTGGCTTCGTATGTGCTTTTGGATAATCCTACTCCTCATCAGGGATGGTATCGCTTTGCCCCAAGGTCTGGTAAGTTGATTACTATAGTAACTTCACATTGTCACAAATGAAAATTTAGATTTTTCTTTGTTGGAGGTGAGTGGGCTACTGAGAAGGACCGTGACTTAGTTCCTTCAAGATGGGATAATACTTCGAGGACTAAGCTAGGTATGGGTTTTGCCCTTGTTTTTATGCCTGACTGTCATGTCTCTTGTATTCAGTACATGTTTGGTTCATTTGTAGCTTCACCCATATTGTCTATGGAGCAAGAGAATAGGCTCCAAGTTGTGAGGGATCATCCTACCAAGAAATTTTCAGCCCTTATGATTACATCAAGTCATTCCAGAGCCTCTCTTAGGTAGAAAAGGAAAGGTATTTGATCTTTCAATAGATTTGATGACACCTATAAATTCTCCTTCTTATGCAAGTTCTGCAAGTACTACTGTTGATAGAGCAATGGTAGAGGATCTCTATACTTCTAGGGGGGTCTTCCTGTCCTTACAAGAGGGTGAGGCTTGATGACCCCAGTGCCTCTCGGCTAAGACTCCAGTGGTGCCCCCATCCCTTCGCAGCATGCAGCCCCTTCGGGTGCTAGGGCTAGCCTTAGTACCGCTTTAGAGTTGAGACTCCTGTGCAGTCCTCTATAGCGACTAGAGCTCCACGTAGCTGTCCTGCTTCTAGTAATGGCTCGGTGTCTATACTGCAGGACGTGAATTTGGCCATAGAGAGGCTTTGGAATTTTGTGACAGCTACGGATATCAGGGAGGTTGGCTCTCGAGGTCCAGAGGGCATTATTGATACTGCGATAGAGAAATTCATTATGGTATACTTTCTTTCAATTCAACCTTGATTTGTGCGCTTTTTCCTCCTTTTTTATGTTTTGCCTGTTTACAGGTTGCTGCTACTTTCTCATGCCTATTTTCAAGGACCATCAAGCTTGTTGAAGCATCAAAGGCTCTAGGAGGAGAGGGACAATCATGAGACGCTACTGAGGAGCAGTTGAGGTTGGCTTATGAGAAAGCTGCACCCCTTGAGGCCAAGTTTTCAATGTCCCGCGAGAGGGCCGCGAAGTTGGAGGCTAATAGGGTAATTATCTACGCGAGAGCAAAGTCAAAGTTGTGAGCATTTACCGAGAGGGTCGCTGGAGCTCAGGAGAGGGTTGTTGTGGAAGTGGCTAACCTGTGAGTAGCTTATGAGAGAGCTTCTAAGGCAAAGGCTTATTCTATTGAGATAAAGATAAGGAGGGATACTGCTGAGAGGGCTATTGTAGGCACTTTTATTGATGGTTATGAGGAGTTTAGGGAGAATCCCACAACAACTTTCCCTACTATTGATTTCTCTAGTTTCATTCCATATGAGGCACCAAGGACAGATGGTGACGGGGAGAGTTTTGATGAGAGCGGGTCGGGGAGCGATGAGTGATTGTTGGGGATATGATGAATTTTTTCTTTTTGTCTAAATTTTTGTTGTTAGGTTATGTTATGACTTTTGTAAGGTGTTTACAAACTTTATGAAACGAAAGAACGACAGTTATGGACACAATAATCTTTGCAAAGTTTTATTTCATAACTAGATAACAAAATAAATTAACTAAATCAACAAATGACAAATAAAATGAGAGTCATTGGCTTGTACCCCCCACTATTGATAATACCTCTTCAAGTGTTCGGTAGCCCATGGATGGTCCAAGTCTTTCCCATTTTTAGTGTGTTGTCATCCTTAGGGTCAAGCACTTCCACTAAGAAGACCTCCTGGGGTTTCTTGGTCCTCATAGAGGCCACATAACATTCTCTAGCGACGACTTGGTCTCCTATAATTTCTCCAATCCCACAAAGGGATGGGAAACGAAGAATAAGGTGATGATTGGTGGACGGCACTACCCTTAAGGTGTTAAGTGCAGGGCATCTAAGAATGATGTTGTAGGCAAAGGGGAAATCCAACATTATTAAGCTTACCATGATGGTTGAGCTTCTAGGTGTTGTCCCCGCTATGACTAATAGAGTGATAAAACCTAAGAGATAAGCCTTCTCCCCCAAAAATCTAATGAGGGAGTCCTAATGAGTTTCAATCTCTCCCTACCAAGATGAAGGCTATGATAGACTGATGCAAATCGGATGTCGGAAGAGCTGTCGCTGTCCACAAGAATTCTCTTAACCTGTTAGTTAGCTAACATCATAAATAACACTAGAGGGTCAATATAATGGTTCTATATCCTTCAAGGTCCCTTTCTGAGAATGAGATGATCTCTCTTTCCCCATGCTTGTGCGTCTTTGTCGGGTGAGGGTCATCTAACTCTTCCTATCTAGCTGAGGTGGAGTCACCTCGTCCTCCTAACCCTCTAGAGTTAATTTGGATTTCTTCGATGGGTTGTTGGTGCTCTCTATCGAGCTAGTTCCAGCCAGGTGGTGGGGCTTGTCCTCTGCTGGCAGTGTATTACCGCAATAGGCCTGGCTGTATGAGTTCCTCGATCTGCCTTTTGAGTTTAAAGCAATCATCAGTGTCTTGGCCATGATCGCAATGGAATCAACAATACTTTTTTGGGTTCCTACGGTTCGGAGCGGACTTCATCTTCTCCGACCAACGTATCGTAGGATCATCTTGTATTTAGAGCATGATATGCTCAACTGAAGTATTGAGCGGTACCAAGGTATGTCGTTTTCCAAAGATGTGGGACCAAGGCGATCCTTGACATAGACTCTTTTCGTCCTATTTTTCTTATTTTATGCTTATCTTCTATCTTTGCGGGTGTCCTTTCTCTTATCACCCCCACGAGAGGACTCACCTCTCCTACCCTTGGTGACATCCTTGGCATTCATGTACTTCTATGCCCTAGATAATAGCTCGGGCACGCTTGTTAGTGCCTTTTTCAAAACAGAGAATATAAAATTTGACAGGTGCAGACTTGCGATAAAGACAATCATGGTAACCTTGTCGTCAAGCTTCTCAATCATGAGGGCCTCGTTAAAACAAGTGAGGTAGCTCCTTAGACTTTCATCCCAATCCTACTTGATGGTGAGCAGGTTGGTGGCTGATTTCTGATGTCGGCGTCCCCCTATAAAGTGGGAGACAAAAAATTTGCTTAATTTAGCAAAAGAGTTAATAGAATATGATTTAAGCTTGGCAAACCAATAGTGTGCGGACCCCTTAAGGGTGGTAGGGAAGGTTCTGCACATGATCTCATCAGGTACGTTGTGGAGTTGCATGAGGGACTTACACGTGTCAAGGTGATCGAGGGGATCTTTCGTATCATCAAAGACCTCTATAGTTGGCATCTTGAATTTCAAGGGTAAAGGGTAGTTGACAAAATCCGCGACAAATGGAGTGTTAGTGCGCCTTACCAAATAGTCCATTGTTTCTAGCGTTTGTGCCTTAATAGCGTTGAGGGCATCGCCAAGCTGGTTTTGTAACTCCTTAATTTTCTCATCTCATTGGTTAGGGACACTCTCATTTAGATCATCGTAGTAGTTTTCATGGTCCATATATTGGTTCTCCGTCTCATCCTCCTGTGTAGGAGGTTATCAGTGTGTGAGGACGAAGAAGGAACATGAGAAAAAGGAGCATGTGGGGGCGCCTGGGCGCTAAGGAGGGACTCCCTGGTGCTGGGGGCTCCTTGGGTGGATAAGCTGTGGCGCCTCCTTTCCTACTAGTTGGGGTATGACTCCTCCTAAAACGAGCATTAGTTGGAGGATCTGTTGATTTTGACTCATCAACGACTGCATCGTCTCAAAAAATTGTTGCCTAACCACTAGATTTGCGGTAATTGAGGGTTCTATAGGCGCAGGCAGAATCTCTTCCCGATTAGCTGGGCCATTATCCTCTTGTTTCTGATTCATTGACCTGGTTATAATTGTAATGGATTTAAAAGAGTCTAGGAGAAAATTGAAAGACAATAGAAAACTTAATCATTTCTCATAGACGACGTCAAACTGATGATACACAAAATAAGTTATGCCCAATGAAATCAATCAAATGTATGAAGCAAGGTAATTAATGGAGTAATTAATAGTAACAGACAAAAATTGGGTGGTTGGGCCAAGGTGATCTAACCACTAAAGACAGCGACGGTGGCCGAAGAACTTTATTAATGAGAGAATAAAGTTATGGGCGAGAGAAAGAGTGGGAGAGCAAGGGTAAGCTAAAGGTGTGATAAGATAGCTATGTGTCCCTCATATGTAGAGAGCTTACAATTTATAGGTGTAGAGTCCTAGTTAAGGCGGTGGCGTGAAGGTCAGACCACTAGTCTCTCAGGGAAAATAGCTACAATTAAGGATAGATACAATTAAGGATTGGCGTGATCCTCGAGTAGCGTTGATCCCGATGATTGCTCCCCACGTGTGTTGACACTCCTGGGTCTCTTGAACTTTGGACCAAACTGAATCCATGAGATGGGCTAGACCTT